TGTGAACGCGCTCCATACTGGCTGCCTAAAAAATTAGCCATTTGTTGCGGTGTTGGATTTGCTTGTTGAATATATAGACTCTGAGCTTGTGGTTGATTTGGTATTTGTTGGTTTGATGGTTGTAGAATCATATTATTGGGACTTAGTTGTTGATTTTGATTTGCATAGAACATTGCGTAATTTGGATTAAAATTTCCTTGCTGGGGCCAATTTCCCCTCTGCTGAGGATATCGTTGATATCCTCTTCCTCTGTTATGATTTCCGCGTTGTTGTGGGTAACTATTATTTTGATGATTTGGGTAATTTCGTTGGGTTTGGTTATGATAACTACGGTTACCTCGCCAATTTCCACGTCCATTACCTCGTCCATTTCCACGTCCTCTTCCAGAGAACCGTGTTTGTATTTGGAAAACATGATTTGTTTTCTCAGCGGACTCATTTTCGGCTGCTTTTCCAATAGCAGCAGAAAGTGTCTCAAATTGTCCTGCTTTGAGAATCAATTTGGTTTCATTGTTTTTAATTCCTGCCGTCAGTGACCTAACAGCAGCCTTTGTGGATATTTTTGTCGCTGCGTCAATCGGTATTCCTTCAGCTATGTAAGCTTTTTCCAGTTCGAGGGCTAATCGCTCAATCTGGTTTGTGAAAGTTGCCAATTCGTTGGTTTGTCTAGTAGCGTTTAATTTAGCGATTATAACTTCAGGCTGATCAGGCTTGAAACATTTCTGTTTTAACCTGTTTATAATTGTAGGGATGTCAGCAGGGTCTTCTCCAACCGCTGACCTTGCTTTTCCTTCCAGTTTTGATAAAACAACCTGGATTGACAAAGCACGATTGTTGTCATTAATGAGTGTATCTATAGCAGTCAATGCTGCTACCACACTATTTAGTTTCTCGGTTGATCCATCATATGATGGTAAAAGTGAACTTATCACTTTTATTACTTCAATATTATTTTCCATTTTTTCTCGAATATTTGTTTTTACTTTTATTACGAATAATATAGCTTGTGCTATTGTTTTAAATTTTACTAAGTGTGTGTTGAGTTCTAAACGACAATTTATAAAATCAATTGTTTCACTATATATTTTTCGTACTGCTGCTAATAAAAATTTATCCTCTTCTAGTAAATCGAGGAGTTTATTGTAAACTATTTTACTTTCATTAAGTTTATTTATTAACGTTGATTTTAGGAATTTTCTATTGGGCGATTTTTTTAAATTTTTGTGTATGGCCGTTAGTTTTTTGACCAATAAATCTATTTCGATTTCTAATGTCATTTAAATGTTTAATACACTGAAAATTTACCACTTCTCATAACTTCACTTAAGTTGTTTATTTCGTTTGTTATTAATTTATGCAAAAATATAATGTCATTATTGTTATTAAGAAAACTAGAAGTTAACACTTCATGGTTAATCAATGATCATCAAATCACTCACACTTAAATAAACTAGTTTTCGATTAATTAAATTTAAAATTATTTTGTACTTATCTTACATCCAGCTACATCCTTATTGTCTCGATGGTATGATGGAGGCGCTCTCCTCAACATCATGTTGCGTCGTTCTAGCTGCTCACTTCCCGCTTCTTACCTGTTGTTGATCTGCCTTCCGCCGTTTTACTTTGCTTCCACTTTTAATATACCAATCCGATAACGATTCCTCCCATTTTATTGTTCAGGGCATCACTATGCGTCATTATCCCCTGCTTGGTGGTTAACAGTATGACACCACTCAGCGAAGGGAGTACTTTTCTGGCCACCGTCTTTAGGTCCTTTATTGTTACACTCGCGGTGAGTTTTTTCTGACCCGTATGTTCGGTAACGTCATATAGTGGGCTAAACTCTACTGCTTCGATAGTAGGTTTAATTGTTATAACCGCACTGTTTTCGACTACTTCTATAAAGTTGTTGTCCACTAGCACTTGGACAAAATTTTTCATTGAGTTTGTTTTCTTCACTGTAATCACGCTGTTTATTTTTTTTAGCCGCGTTTAGTTTTTTTAAAGTGTCTCTTAACACTTCCATTACTGCCTTGTTCTTTTCATTTCGCACTTAGCACATTGGTTAAGGACACAGCAGTCTTGATCGTTTCGTTTGTCTTCAATCTTTCGTGCTTAATCACTGCACGCATAATTATATACGCGACACCAACCACTATTATTGCTAGCGTCACATATGCTAGTATTGACGTAGCGTTGGCTGTTTTCTCCAAATGCGCGGTTTGATTTGTGTTGATTATTTTTATGATATCTTCATGATTCGTTGGGGGTTTTTCAGTGGACGGTTCGTTCCCCATTGTTGCACTTTAAATTCACTTATTCTTCACTTTTGCACGGTTTCGTCCCACTATTGTCGGTCGCCATAAACTACGCTTCGTTGTAGTTTCAAAAGAATCGTGTAGACTTCATGCCTGGGCTTTCTTTGCCAACCTACAGGTCTTAACCCGTAGGAGTAAGAAATACTTATTACTTTGTTCAGAGTAGTCGATTGGCCAAGATCGGAGAACCTCCGGTTGGGTCGAGCTCAGAACGAATAATCCTCTTCGTATATTTCAGCGTTTCTTATTTATAGGGGTTATCGAATACAGTTTTCCTATGAGACAGCTGGGGCGACATCAATAAATGCATCCTTTGCAGTTTTACAAAATTGGGTTTTTTCGCCTAATAAACATAAAGCACTGCGGCCGGTACGGGTTTCGCTGTGCGAGGTAAAAAGTGGTAACGAGTAGAGAGACTGAAGTAGAGACACAGAAGGTGTGCTTCTTTAAGCGTAATTATAATTTGCTGCCTGTGGGATATGTATGTAAATTAGCTATGGGTTTGTTCTCATGCTACAAATGCAATCAATACCGTCGAGTTTCAGTTTCATTGAAGCAAAACGTAGGCATCAATGCATCATGGATGTTTCCTTTTCGTTTTAATGATTTGTATTGTTTCTATATAGCATTGAAAACGCAACTAGAAATTGAATACCATGTTTTTATATCACTGGTAATTTTACAGAAAATCATTCATTTATAACATTTTAAACATTCTCCCAGACACAAACAGATATAACACTATCAGGCTTAAAGTGACCATTTTATACGATAGATTAGGCGATAAAAGTATAGAGTTGATTGTTTCGTTAGAGTAGTTTGGCAGTGTGAAAATTGTATATAGAGAGTAGAAAACGATCATATGTCAATTTCGGGTTGATCGTCTCTTTTACCAAACTCCCTCGTTGGGGAAGGACGGTGATGGAGATGATCAATGATAATGATTAATTAAAAGATTTTATCTAGAAATTAAATTGTTGATTATATTACGTACATCTTAAATAAATGTTTGCATTTATTAATAACACCTATACATAATTTACCTCTACTCCACCAAGTGTTTCAAACTCCTGATCCTGGATTACCAGCCACTTCTGTTTCCATCTGCTTTATTCTTGATTACATATTTTGATCATATCATAGAATAATATGAAGCTCATCTTGAGTAGCTTCTCTTGAAGTCGAATAATCTTTGCCTTACGGTCATTTAAACGAATCGTATCACTTATGCTATTTTTAGTTAGAAAATTGTGGTTGGTATTTGTAACCCAAGTCGCACAAGTGCTGAAACAAAGTTTTATAAGCCAACCTTATCAAAATTGATTAGGCGTTGTAAATCAGTTTTACAATAATTGAATAAATGCTTAACAAACATATTTGGAAGCACTGTTCGTTGTGAAGCTGTAAACCTGGTTGTCGATTTAAGTGAGGTGCTATAAAAGGTATCGTTAGTCTTATGAAGCATATAGTTAAACCGAACGCAAACAATCATTCAAAAGCGCTCCATGCAGTTTTTAAAGCTCTTAACCAAATGGCAATACAACTTCATTCTTGTTTAACTCTGGAAGCTATTATATAACTTTTTTTTATCAACACAGGTGTTTTATAAGTGCTCTCAATTATTTGTTTGGTCAGATGGCAACTTGAGTGTGAAAAAATCGTTAGAACTGTTTCCGCACATCGTAGGTTCATGAGCAAGTCGACCATTATATAATTTGCCATGTATGTAAATCGTTAACTTCACGCATTAAATAATTTAAACATGTTTAGCTATAGTACTATCATATTGTTCATCAAACACGCATTTAACGATCAATTTGAATATGTCCTGGTTGGTAGTACTGTCGTTTGGGGCGCTCATAGTCAATTTCCTTGCGTTTGACGTTTACACGCTAGCGCCATATGTTGATCGTACTGCCCATGACATGGGTATACTCAATAGATGGCGGTAGCGTTTTAGTGGCGCTATTTTATAGTGAAAAATATATAATACGTTATGTATCTTTATCAAGTTCAAATGTTACTTTCAAGTTAAGGACAACACACGTTCCAAGCATATGATTCATATATTTGAAACTGATATTGAATGCAATTGAACGTCACTTAAATAATATTTTAAATTATGCTTAAAAATCTACTTTCTTATGAAGAGAAACTAGTTAAAGCTACCATTGGAGTCTCATAATGAAATGCTATCAAGATTTATTTTGATATCTATCACCAACCAACCAATTCTATTCCGGTGCTCAATTTGCCTCCGTATCACAGTATTTAAATCTTTTTCCTTTAATTTTTTTGTGACGAAATGTAGAATTCACATGATTTTCTTATGATTGTTTTCATCTAAATTTAATTTGTTTCATATCAAGATGGTAGGAGGAAAAATACGAACGCACATTTGAAATTCAAACTTCGAAGGCAAATAACTGCCCCGGGCCCTCGGATCCTTAATCTGGCACTGGGGCACATTCAAAAGATGCATTATAAGGAAAGTTTTTAAGATTAAATATAAGCTGCTGATGAAGTCTAGGAACGCTTCATGAAGGTTTCGCGAGGAATTCCTACTACAAAACATTTCATCAACATCGTAAAAAATTAAAATTATAAAATGCACCATATTTTCGACTCGGTTGTAGTGCAGCCTCTTTGACGTGATATTAATTTTAGTTTTTTGCTCCGCAGGATCATTGACGGACGAGCCGAATGCTGATACTTCGCGAAATCTCCTATCGCTGTTTCTTCATATCCGCGATACACCCAGTACTGTAATTGTAAAATAATAACAGGTAAGTCGCAATTTTTCTCAAGGGGCGACAGATAAGTAAGGGTAAAATTCAGAATATGTGCACCAAAGTGAAGCAATAGAATTTAAAAATTCCCGGTATGACAAAAATCCTCTCCAAGGGTGACATTGCATTAGATAAGAAAGAGAACTTCATGAGGACGGATTATTAGAATTTCAAAATTATCAACGATGTGGCAATGGTCCCCTGTTCAGATGACATTTCTTAAACAAGAATGTCGAGAGCTTCACGATGACGGAGCATAAGAATTATTATATTATCAATGAGGTGACAATGATATTCTGTTGTAACTTTGTTCCAAAAAAATGTCTATCAAGAACTTTATGAGGATGAAGCATTAGAATTGAAAAAAATATCAACGATTTGGCTACGGTCCACTGGAAGAGTGACATAACTGAAATAATATTTTCAAGAACATCATCAGCATGAAGCATTAGAATTTTATGGTTTCAGGTTGGCGATATTCCAAATATTCGCATATCGAGAACTTCATAAGGACGAAGGATTAAAATTGCAAAATTATCAACGACGTGGCGATGGTCCTTTGTAATGAAGATATTCCTGAAAATGAGAATGTTGACTACTTCATGAATAGCCTTATTTGAAAATTATCGAGGTGACAATGACCCTGTGTTGAGCCAATATACCATATATTCACATATTGAGAACCTTAAGAGGATTAAAATTGCAAAATTATCAACGAGGTGGCAAAAGCATCATGCATCGATCCACCATAGTCCAGCCCTTCGCTTGTTTAAGGTTCAATTCAGACATGTTCAAACACATCACGGCACTGCGTACGGAAATTTGTTATCTATCCAATATATTAAGTAAAGACAAACAGTTCAATGAACGCGCTACCGGGTGAGTGAATTTTGAACTAAACTCTTTACCATAAGATAGGTCTTGACCATCTGATCAACTTTACTGAAGACGGAAATCTTCTATTTAGTCCATATGTTTTAAATAAAACAGCAAAAAAGGTTATCTTCCATTTAGTTCCACATGAATTTTGGTATCCATGACAGATACGTGTTTCGACTACAATGTGCAGTGTCATTCCCACTAAAGAACTTATCTAAATCTAATCCCCTTAAGTACTCATCCCCTAGGTATAAAAGTCAAGATCACAGGTATAAAAATGAAACTACAATGTGTTGAATCGGAACCTACTTAACTAATAAAAACCAAAGAACTAAACTAAAGGAGAAACATCTATACAACTCTCTAATAAGGAAAGGCTTGGTAGCCATCATAATACGTATCTGTCATGGATACAAAAATTAATTAAGTAGAATTAAATGGAAGATATCCTTTTTTGCTGCTTTATTTAAGCATTCCGCTAACAACCCAATTTCATTACTTCATTGTGATGTTTACTTAGCCTTTGGGAATATCCATTATTAGAGAGTTGTATAGATTTTTCTCCTTTAGAACATTGAAAATACTCCAGGAACTGCTAGGTTGCAGAAAATACTCGCTAGAGATCTTCCAATGGGCTGGGCACTAGACTGATGCAAAATTTGAAATTATCGCTCCACAGTGCCCAAACGGTTCCAAATTGGGCCCTGATTAGCCTCCCAAAATTTGAACTCATTCAGTTAGAAACTGACTTGGCACAAACCATTTGAAGTTTATATGGGAATTACTATGGAGAAACCATAATTTCGGTTCATATTTATCACTCTACTTTAAAAAGCTGATAACTGAGCTTGTTGACAATATTCTCAGCAACATCTTTTTTAAAGAACACTTTTCGATTAAATGTAAGGAACACAAATTATTAATAATTCAAGTCACTGATGTCTTATGATTATGCTCGATCAACTGTTCAGCAGGCAACATTGGTGTTTATGGCGCGTAGAATAGAGGAAAAAATCATGGCTACTATGTCACACTGCAGAATACAGTGTTGCCTACAATACAGTTGCTTAATCTTGCCATAAGATTATCAATATCTTATGTCGTTTTCGTTTTTGCGGTGTAGCATTGGTGTAGTGTAAGCAGGAATAAGCGCGAGTCTTTGACAGCTCAACATCATTTGTTTGTAAACAAAGGTGCACCCTATATCTACACCCTAAAATATTTCGGTGTACGGCAGTGTAGCACCGGTGTAGCTACACCGCAAAAACGAAAACGACATTAAACAATTAATAACTTAGTTGAAGATGCTAATTTCAAATAACAGACTGTAGTGGTAATTTTTATACGATAGATGGAGTAGATGAAAGCATAGAGTTGATAGTTCCGTTAGAGTACGGCAGTGTGAAGATTGCATATAGATATTAGAATAGAGAGCTTGGACAACTTTTAAGGAAGGTACAAATCGGTTTTTTTCCTCCTGGATGCCTTCCTTCAAATAACAACTGAAGTGCGGTAAAAAAAATCGGTAGAACTGTTTCAAACACACAGTTGGTACTTGAGCGGGTCGGTTTTCATCTCTTTTTGCCAGTGGTGGCGGGGGGGGGGGGACACCCCTCACCATCCCTCTCCAAAGGGGGAGTTTGGTTAAGAGTTCTACCGATTGTACCTTCCTTAAAAGTTGTCCTAGCTCGCTATTCTAATATCTATATGCAATCTTCACACTGCCTTACTCTAACAGAACTATCAACTCTATGCTTTCATCTACTCCATCTATCGTATAAAAATTACCACTACAGTCTGTTATTTGAAATTAGCATCTTCAACTATGTAAATCGTTGACTTCACGTAGAAGTAATACTAAAACACATATAGTCAAAGTAATTAATAACTATTTAATTTGAGGTTTGGCTGAAAAACGATTTTCTGCAAAGTTGTAATTGATAGAAAAAATTCCCTTAGGAATGGCAATAGAATTTGTTAACAGTACAACATGTAAAAAGGCTAGAAGATAATGAACAAAAAGTTTTGTTTTCCCACAGTAATTTCCACATAAACTTCAAATGTTTGGAGCCAAAATTTTCAAATTTTGCATCAGTCTACTGGGCACTTTGAAAAAAATAAAAAAGATGGTGCTTTTACTACTTTTACTAATGAAACGTTAGAGTTGATAATGAGAACACATTTTCAATATTCTGTTATCAATTCAAAAGAAGACCAAAACGCAACGACAACAGCAATTGGTATCGATGAGCCCAGGACGAATATTCATGAAATATTGAATGAAACGATTGAGTTAGACATAACAAGAAAAGTTGAATGGTCGATTGACTCCTTTGAACCTGTCAAGTCACCAGGTAGAGATGGAATTTTTCCTGTGCTACTACAGAAGGGAAAAGCGGTTTTAATGCCTATTCTAACAAAGCGATTTCAAGCAAGCTGGTGAAGCTGGGATAAATATTAAGCTATATACCGGCAGTGCGGCGACAAGTGCGGATTATTTTTATCCCCAAGGCTAATAAAAAGGATAAAACTTCACTAAAATCCTTAAGGCCAATAAAATTATCGTCTTTTATGCTAAAAGTAATAATAATAATAAAAAAATAGATGAACATATAAAGTCATCATATCTAGTTAGAAATCCTCTGATATTAGTTTGCATACCAGGAAGGTAACTCGTCAATAATGGATTGCTGTTACGGTTGTTACAAAACTAGAAAGATCTTTTGAAGCCAAAGAAATTTCAATTGCTGCATTCCTTGACATTGAAGGTGCATTCGATAATTCATTTCACGATTCAATGACTACAACGTGGCTTGGATCAAAGCATTGTAAATTGGATCAATGAGATGTTATCAAAAAGAAAAATATCAGCAAACATTGGATGCTCACTCATCAGTGTAAGAGCAACCAAAGGGTGCCCGCAAGTAGGCGTGTTATCACCTCAATTGAGTTCTTTAATAGTTGATGATCTTCTCAAAAATTTAATAGCTCAAGGCTTCCAAATAATTGGCTTCGCGGATGATAAAGTCATAATTGTACGTGGCAAATATGATTGTATTTTCGCTAAAAGAATGCAAATCGCTTTAAATTTTTTCTCATCGTGGTGTGATAGGGAGGGATTGAACATAAATCCTTCTAAAACTACTAAATAAACAATATTGTGCCATTTACGCAAACGAAGAAATTTTCATTAGACAACATATTTCAATCTTATGATGGTACAATTTTGGAACTTTTTAATACTATCAAATATCTTGAAGTAGTCCTTTATAGTAAACTTAATTGGAACATGCATCTAGAGCAGGCAATAAACAAAGCTACTTATGCTCTATGGATATACAAAAGAACATTCGGTAAACAGAAAATGATCCATTGGATTCAATCGGCAATTGTGAAACCCAGTGTTATATTGGTCTGGTGACCAACAACAAAAGAGAGTATTGCTCAGAGAATGTTAGAAAAACTCCAACGGTTAGCAACTCTCTCAATAACAGGTGCAATGAGAAGTACACCCACCATCGAAGGCATTTGATGCTTTGCTTTATATGCTACCATTGCGTCTATTTGTACAATTAGAAGCCGAAAAGTGATTACAAGGTCAGTGAAATTCTTTGAAGGAGACCTTAGAGACCTTAACTGAAATGAAAGAGCTGATGCAAGACTCGAATCTTCTCATAAGCTCTGTTAGTGAGAATTTTCGGTTTCGGATGCAGCCGAAGGAACTCGATCTTCAGAGCGTGTCCAGTTTGTGAACAGCTTAAAGCTGGAAATATATTTGCATTAGCTTTAAGGTTATAAAAGTAAAGAAACAAGCTTACAATTCGTGTTTCCTTCTTTTTCCTGCACCTCTGATTCCCTAACCTCAATTTTACTAGAGTTACAAACTCACTGCTAGAAATTTAGGTATAATTAGTTTAATTGTTTGTAATTCAATTCTGTCCTGTACATTACCGTTTAGTTTTCAAAGTTTGAAGTTTTAGAGCAATAGAAACTGAAATAATAATGATAATGCTGTAAATTAAGCTTTTATCTTCCTAGCGTGTTTACACTGTGTCAAATTACGATCCTTTTTATTTCTTCTTCTTTTATTAATACTCTAGTCCGTCCGTTTTCTTGTACCGCTAACTGCCAAGGTTAATTTAAATAACGAGGTGCGTTCGAGGTACCCAGTGGGCTTAACAATCCCCAGCCCGTACATCCGGTTCGAGAACTACTTGCGGACCGGCTTTACTTCCGCTTGGTCCAGTTGGAACCTCGACCACCGCTAGTTTGGTCACCGGTCGTTTGTATACACCGCTCTTCGTTCTGACCACTGCCTGCCGCACACTACCATCCTTCGCCACAATCACGTCCTCGATGATTCCTCGAATCCACTTCTTCCGACTCGACTCGTCGGTGATATACACAATATCCCCTGCCTTCACCGGAACTCGTTCCTCATGCCATTTGGATCGTCGATTGAGTGACGGCAGATATTCGTTCAGCCATCGTTTCCACATTTGATCAGCAAGGTACTGCGACCGTCGATATGTATCCCGGAGTGCTTCAGCAAGCTCGGTTTCAGTTTCAACGAGCTGACCGTTTGATGGACCAATGCGTAGAAAATGGTTTGGAGATAATGCTTCTGAACCCTCGGCTTCTTGCGGTTGATACGTTAGCGGGCGGGAATTTATCATTTCTTCAGCTTCTACTAGTGTGGTTTGCAAGATCTCATCGGTAAGCTTTCTTCCGTCGTCCAGGGCTCGCATGGCTTGTTTAACTGAGCGCACCATGCGCTCCCACACTCCTCCCATGTGAGGCGCTGAGGGTGGGTTGAATCTCCACTTCAATCTGGCGTTCGTTACAGCTTCTGCGCACTCCTCGTCGATCTGCCGAATTAACGTACACAGCTCCTTGCTTGCTCCATGCAAGTTCGTCCCGTTGTCCGAAAACATTTCCAGTGGGGCACCACGCCTGCCCATAAATCGTCGAATTGCCATTAAACAAGACTGCGTTGTCAAATTATAGGACACCTCCAAATGAACCGCCCTCACCGTAAGGCAGGTGAACACGGCAATCCATCTTTTTTCCGTACGACGACCAATCGTGACTTCCAGAGGACCGCAGTAATCCAGACCCACAAAGCTAAATGGTGCTAGATACGGAGTTAATCGCTGGACTGGAAGGGGAGCCATGATTGGAGCAACCGGATGGCATTTATGAACTCGACACCATTGGCAATTTCTGGCTACGTTTCGCACGCCAGCCCGAAGATTTGCAATCACAAAATGTTGGCGCAGCTTGTTTACAACTGTTTCGTTGTTACTATGGCCAAACCGTTTATGAAAATGTTCAATCAGTTTGAGTGTTATTGTGTGATTTTTAGGAAGGATGACTGGAAATCTAACGTCGTATGGAAGAAATTCAGCCGCTTCAGTCCTTCCTCGCATCCTCAGAACGTTGCATTCATCCAGGAATGGTGACAATGTGTATAGTTGACTACTCTTCTCTAGTTGCAACTTGTTCTGCAGCGGCAACTGTTTGTTCTTCTTCAAGATCATGATCTCGTCTCCGTAGGTATCACACTGAGCTGCTCTCCAAAGACAGTTTTCGGCATTATGGTATTCATCCTGCTGCAGCGGTTTCACCACCGATGGTAAAGAGGCAACAATGAACTTGTAAAGTTTCGGTTCCATGGGTACAACTTCAATCGGTAGCTGTCGAAGTTTCCTGCGGCAGTTAGAGATGAATCGATAGACCATTCCAATGGTTCTCACTAAAACGTTCCAACGGGAGATCCTGCTCGTGTCAATGACGGGTACTTCGAGTTTTATTTCGTGAAACAGTACCGAAGCTCGTAATTCTTCTGCAATCACAACCGCCACGTTTACTTCTTGCGGCCAGTCCTTCTCGGGTAGATGGAGGAACTTTGGTCCACAAAACCATTCATCGTCTGCATCCGGAACGAAATGACGCCCCCACTTTGTTAGATCGTCAGCTATGTTGAATCTACTGGGAATCTTACGCCAGTCGTCCGCATTTGTCAGGCTTAGAATTTCTCCAATTCGAAAGGATACAAATTGCTTGAACTTTCTTTGATCAGAGTTAATCCACGAAAGCACTGCCTGGGAGTCCGTCCAGAGAAAACGACGCTTTATGGCGAGAGAGTGATTCGACTCGACTGCATTCATCATTCGAGCACCCAATACTGCTGCTTGTAGCTCCATGCGAGGAACGGAAAGCTGCTTGATTGGTCCTACCTTCGACTTCGCCATCGCAAGAGAGATTCGTGGAGTGCTACCATCCATTACGCGTAGGTACACTACACAGCCGTAGGCTTGCAGGCTACCATCAACAAACACATGAAGTTCCATCGTTTCATTATCTGCTAGCAGCATGCCACCGAAATACGGCCGCGGGATACGAAGACTGGCAATTTTCGGGAACAATTGGATCCAGCGAGTCCATAGCTGGAAGCATTCGTCGCTTATTTCATCGTCCCACTGACTTCCTGTACGCCAAATTTCTTGCAGCAGTATTTTTCCGTGAACGATGAAGGGAGCAACCAATCCGAGTGGGTCGAACAAAGACATTAAGCACTTCAACGCAGTTCGTTTCGTCGGCCGAACATCGCCTCCTGTGTACGGTTTTAGTTCGTCTTTAAACGTCATAGGAAAGGTGAATACGTCTTCTTCGGGACGCCAGACAATTCCAAGAACACGTTCTGTAGCTGCATGTTTATCGTGACTGAAATAAGCTGTTTGTTCTGGTTTTGCTTCACCAAGTTGTGTCAAAAATTCCGCTGAGTTTGACATCCAGTTGCGAATGTGGAAGCCCGCTGCTAAATGAATCATTTTGACGTCCAGTGCCCGCTTCACTGCCTCCTGGACCGTGTTGGTGCTGTCAAAATAATCATCCACATAGTGTTTGTGAATGATTGCAGCTGCAGCGTCCGGATAAAGTTCAGCGTATTCTTCTGCATTGCGGTTTTTTACAAATTGAGCAGTACACGGTGAGCATGCGGATCCGAAAGTGCACCTGTCCATGACGTATACCTCCGGTGCCTCTTCGGGAGTTTTCCGATACAGAAAGCATTGCGCCAGCCTATCCACGAGTCGGACGAGCATTTGGTGATACATTTCCATTATGTCTCCTCCGAATCCAATCTGACGCTCTCGGAATTGACTGATGACAGCTACCAACGATGCCAACAGATCCGGTCCCTTGAGGAGAAGAGAGTTTAGGGATATTCCGGAAACTTTGGCAGAAGCGTCCCAAACAAGTCTCACTTTCCCAGGTTTTTTGAGATTCGTGACGATGCTTACTGGAAGGTACCATATTTGTCCGGGATCCACTTGCGTTAACTCCTTCGGAGAAGCCTTGTGTGCGTAGCCCTTTCTTAAGTATTCACTTATTTGGTGGTGATAGGCATCAGCAAGCTCCACGTTGTTAGACAGCCGCTTTTCCAACTGCTTGAGTCGTTTTAGAGCCATTGGAAAACTGTTGGGAAAATGATGATTATCCGATTTCCAAAGGAGCCCGGTTTCAAAACGATCACCCTTCCGAACGGTGGTGCTTTCCAGGATGGCTTTGGCTCGTTGGTCGTCATCGGATTCTAGAACGGTGCTTGCTGTAATTCCGATGTCTTCTACCGAGAAATGATCCCGGAGTAAATTGTGTAGCTCTTGATTGGTGATGCATTCTCCTTCATGGTGTCCAACAAATGCTTCGTGGCGTTTTTCGTTACTATTAGGGCCATATACCGCCCATCCTAGTTTTGATCTTACAGCGATTGGTTCTCCGAGATTTCCGATCCGAGATTCAATCGGGGCGAATAGATGGATGTTATCCAAACCAATTAGAATCCTAGGCATGCCGGACAAGCCATCAGCTAGTGGAAGATCTTTCAAGTGATCGAACTTCTGTGCTAGCTCCGAGTACCGAATGGATTGAACAGGTAATTTCATTTCTATTACGGTATGAGCGTTCCTGAGTGGCCACTTCTCGCTGGACCCTTTGGCGGAAATTCGCAAATTCACTCGCTTTGAGTTTCTCTCCGTTCTGCTGATGTTTGCTGTCCAAATCAAACGTAACATTTGCTTGACACCCTTCACGCCAAGATGATCAGCCAAATCCGCTTCAACCAGGCTTAACGATGAACCCTCGTCCAAGAAGGCAACTGCATCTACGGAACGATCCTCGTAATATAGCGTTACAAGAACCATTCGGAAGATCACGGACTGCTGTTCCCCACTGTGCGTGTTGTGGTTGGAAGCATCTTCTGTGTCATCGGCCGAGACGCTAGCAGCTGGATGCATTAGAGGATGATGCCGCTCTTGGCATTGGCTTACGTTGCATTGGATCTTGAACCTGCACCGAGATTGTCCATGCCAATTCAAACAAGTACTGCAGAGCTTCAACTTATCCACTTCCTTGGTCCTCTCTTCCCACGTCATGGCTTTGAACTTCGGACAGTTCCGAACGCGATGATCCAGCTTCTGGCATACGTGGCAGGGCTTCTCCATCGGTATGGGCTTTCGAGCCGTTTCCGACGCTGCGACATCGTTCAACGAGTTTTCCGATGAATCGTGAGAATGCAAGAATCCTCTCTCTTTTGGCTTTTTCTCCGGTTTGGTTTGGAAGTAATCCTTCGGTTGCGAATAACCGGTCGCTTCACTTGCGTCAGCAGCCTTTTCGGACATAAAATCCGAAAATGTTCGAAGTGTTGGGTTGGGAAAATGTCGCTTGTAGCGAACCCACTCCATTTTGGTACTGGCTGGTACTTTTTCCACAAGCTCCTGTAGAAGCAGAGGGTTTACCAGATGATCCCTTAGGTTGGTCGCCTCCAGGTGATCACACAGTTGTTCGACGAGAATCCCAAAATGTACAAAGCTCTCCAAACGATCCGGCTTGAGTGGATCCGCCTTCCTGACTTTCTCCAATAACGAGTAGAGCAATTGCTCTGGGCGACCATACATTCTTCGTAGGGTTTCGACAATCTGCGGCACCGCCTGCGGCAGGATCAGTCTGCTGCGCACAAGTTCGAGTGCAGAACCTTTTAAACATTCCTGCAGTCGGACGAGGTTTTCGCTCAACGAGTAACCGCACGCTTCCGTAGTTGTTGTGTAGCTGCTCAGAAAAAGCGGCCACTCCTCCGGTTTGCCGCTGAATGTTGGAAGTTTTCTTGGTAAAACCTGCCTTGCAGCCATTTGAGCATTGCTCAGACTTGGCTGCCCCTGCCCGTAAGGGACTCCGTTCATGAACCGTACGTTACCTGGTAGCCCAGCTGGTTGCCTTTGTTCACGATATTCGACAGGTATAGGATCAAGCCGTACATTGCTGGGTCCCATTTTAGCAATCGGTACTACCGGATCGGCTTTACCGAAACGTTGCTCCCGCTGATGCTGAGGGATTCTTCGGGTTAAATCGTCATCTTCTTGCAATGCTAACGATGATACGGCTCTATCTAGGTCCACTAGATTCTCCGGAGGAATGTTGTTGAACCGATCGCATCTTGGATAATACGCAGCCATTGGGTTTAAGCGGATACGTTGACGATTACCCGATACCTGTTCGAGGTCGTTCTTGGAAAAGCGTTCAGCCACGCTTGATGCCCTTGGAAGGGGAGCTTTTGGATATGCCCCACGAGGATCCGCATATCCGGTTGATTTCCGTCCAGCATCCTCGGGTTTTGACATCGTTTCCATCCACCATTCCACTTTGCCTTTTCCGTTTTGCTGACTTTCTGACTCTAACATACTTCCACGATCACTTCCTCCTACCGTACCTTGCCTTAAGAGAAGAGCTTGCCGGTTCCTCCGGTATTCCTCCTGAAGTACATTCTGCTTGCACAAGTACTTCTCCTCTAGAACTTTCTCCTGCTCCAAAGCCTTTTGCTTTTCCTTGAGCTCATCTTCGAGCATTTGAAGCTCCAGCGTAAAAACGGAACTTTCCTTGGAAATCCGAGAACAGACGCTTGACGCTGATGCTGCAGAGCGGAAGCTGCAATCACCGCAACTCCATGAGACGTGTTTCACATCTTCTGTGACGCCCGCGCATCGGAAGTGAAACCATTCCCCGCATACGTCACAGGCCACCATGCCAACATCCCAATCATCCGGTCGATCACAAAGTTTGCAGGACGTTGCCATGTTGAGATCCGGATGTTACGAATTCTTTAAGAATGTTAGTGAGAATTTTCGGTTTCGGATGCAGCCGAAGGAACTCGATCTTCAGAGCGTGTCCAGTTTGTGAACAGCTTAAAGCTGGAAATATATTTGCATTAGCTTTAAGGTTATAAAAGTAAAGAAACAAGCTTACAATTCGTGTTTCCTTCTTTTTCCTGCACCTCTGATTCCCTAACCTCAATTTTACTAGAGTTACAAACTCACTGCTAGAAATTTAGGTATAATTAGTTTAATTGTTTGTAATTCAATTCTGTCCTGTACATTACCGTTTAGTTTTCAAAGTTTGAAGTTTTAGAGCAATAGAAACTGAAATAATAATGATAATGCTGTAAATTAAGCTTTTATCTTCCTAGCGTGTTTACACTGTGTCAAATTACGATCCTTTTTATTTCTTCTTCTTTTATTAATACTCTAGTCCGTCCGTTTTCTTGTACCGCTAACTGCCAAGGTTAATTTAAATAACGAGGTGCGTTCGAGGTACCCAGTGGGCTTAACAAGCTCATAGGACCAGAGCCCTTTTGTGGCTTATCGGCTGCATCTTTTAGAATGGAGCTAAAAGCGTGGGAATCTTCAAAAGTGGAGGAAAACTGGAAGAACACTTCCATTGCTAGGCAGTCGAAACGATTCATTAAACCAAACGTTTATGTGACCCACATAATCCTGGAACTTTCTAAAAAAGATCTTAGCATATATACAGGTCATTGTCCGAGCCGTTATCACTTGAAGCTGCTTGGAAAACTTCAAGATGATGTATGTCGCTTCTGTGGCATAGAAAAGGAAGACTCGGAACATTTGCTGTGCCACTGTCCGGCAATTTTCAATAAAAGACGTAAATTCTTCGACAAGGGGCTGATGGAACCCTTTGACATTTAAAGAACAACTCCCAGTACGGCAGTGCACTTTATTCGAAGTGTAATTCCTTGCTGGGATAATGCTATTAGTCGAACAATGGCGATCACTCCTAATAATAGTGATACGGCATCTTGATATAGCTAAAAAAAAAAAGATTAGTAATTTCCATTTAATTCCACTCTCTTATTTGCTTTCCCTTGACAGATACGCGTATTTCGTCTACAATGTGAAGACTTCTTCAGTGTCTTGTACTAATAGTCGAGTGTTAGTACAAGACACTGAATGAGTCTACACATTGTAGACGAAATACTCGTATCTGTCAAGGATAAGCAAATAAGGTAGTGGAACTAAACTGAAATTACTAATCCTTTTCTCTCTCATTATACAGGTATTCCACTAAGACGCCCACATTAATCAGGATTTAAAAAAAAATGAAAATGGGGAATATATTACAATAGATCTGAAAAATGGTCGCAGTTATGAAAATACCCGATTAGCATTTAAAAAAAAATATGACCATCGTAAAACTAGCTCGGATATGTTTGTTTATGGTGGTATTGGAAACATGAATAGAGCTTATTGATACCAAACAATAGGTTTCTGATGCTCCAGGTAGTGGGTTTACATTCTGCAAATTCATGATTAATCATTATCATATCATACGACACATCATCAAATTATATTTGCTCGACGAAATACGCATCACCACTTGATTTTGGATGATTTCAACTTAGTGTTCTTTGAGCACTTCCATAATTTTTCCAACCCGAAAAATACATTAACAGGACTGAGAATCGAACCCAGCCACCTTAAGCAGGTCTTGCTTTATAGCTGTGGCTTAACCGAGTGAGTCAAGTCAATGTCAAATCATTTGTCTATTTTTTTTTGTTTTTTTTTGTTTTTTTTAACTCTTTGTTTCAAATTTAAAATAAATTACATTTCATTTTAACCTAGGTGCTCCAGTTACTACAGTAACTTACCAGCCTTAATTGTTATGATATATTTCTAAGTATTTTTACGTTGTTCCTGTCTTGGCAATTCAGTATTTTAAACAGGTTTTTTAAACCTGCATGTCAGTATAACAATTGATATCTTAAAACTAAAAACTAAAACTAAATCTTATCTAAGTATAAAGGGAATTAGTCGTTGCAATTGAGGATTTCAACGATTTTTGCATGAAATTATTAATTATTTTGTTGGACATTTGTTCTAAAGTCTCAACATTCGAAATTCTATGTACCTCCGTAGTAATGTACCAGGGAGGCAACTTCAAAATCATCTTCAGAACTTTGTTCTGAATCCTTTGAAGTGCTTTTTTCCTGGTAGTGCAACAACTAGACCATATTGGCACAGCGTAAAGCATGGCCGGCCTAAAAACTTGTTTAAATATTAGAAGGCAAAGTTTGGATTTCCTGTTTATCAGAGGATACAAACATTTTATATATTTGTTACATTTGGCTTGAATGCCCTCAATGTGATCTTTAAAAGTTAATTTTTGGTCAAGTATTAATCCAAGATATTTCACTTGGTTTAACCAGGAAATTGGAACTCCGTTCATAGTGACTATGTGACTACTACTAGGTTTCAAAAACGAAGCTCTAGGCTTATGTGGAAATATTATAAGTTGAGTTTTGGAAGCGTTGGGAGAAATCTTCCATTTTTGTAAATAAGAAGAGAAAATATCTAAACTTTTCTGCATTTTGCTGCAAATAACACGAAGACTTCTTCCTTTAGCGGAAATGCCTGTGTCATCAGCGAACAAAGATGTGTGGCAACCCTGAGGCAAATCAGGGAGGTCCGAAGTGAAAATGTTATACCATATAGGCCCAAGAATGCTACCCTGAGGAACTCTTGCTCTAACAGGTAGAACAATTAGATTTGGAATTTTGATAATTTACCTGCAGAGTTCTGTCAGTTAAATAATTTTGAACTAATTTCATAATATAAAGTGGAAAATTAAACTTTTTCAATTTAGCAATCAAACCTTCATGCCAAACACTGTCGAATGCTTTTTCTATGTCTAGAAGAGCAACTCCAGTTGAGTGGCCTTCAGATTTGTTTGAACGAATTAAATTGGTAACTCTTAAGAGTTGATGAGAAGTTGAATGCCCTCTTGGAGGCGAACCAGCCAGGCTGAAAGCCTCCCTAATAAAGATAAATTAATTAATTAGTTGAATGTCCATGGCGAAATCCAAACTGCTTATCTGCAAAAATTGAGTTCGTATTGATGTGATGCATCATTCTATTCAAAATTATCTTTTCAAAAAGTTTACTTATTGAAGAAAGCAAACTTATTGGGCGGTAGCTAGAAGCTTCAGCTGGATTTTTATCCAGCTTCAAAATTGGAACAACTTTTGCATTTTTCCATTTATCAGGAAAGTATGCCAAATGGAAACATCTGTTAAATAATTTTACCAAGAAAGACAAGGTACTCTCTGGGAGTTTTTTTTGATGAGGATATAGAAAATTCCATCATCACCTGGAGCTTTCATATTTTGAATTCTTTTAGTTATAGACCTTACTTCGTCCAAATCAGTCCCCCAGGAATCATCAAAAATATTTTCCCGAGAGAAAATTTTCAGATAATCCCGAGCAATATGATTCTCAATAGGACTAGTAAGACCCAAGCTGAAATTATGGGAACTCTCGAATTGATTAGCAAGTTTCTGAGATTTTTCCAAATTTGTGATCAAAATTTTACCACCTTCTTTAAGCGCTGGAATAGGCTTTTGAGGTTTTTTCAAAATTTTTGTGAGATTCCAAAAGGGTTTGGAACTCGGGTCTAATTTAGAAACATTATTTTCAAAAGTTTTGTTCCTCAGGGCAGAGAATCGTTTTTTAATTTGTTTTTGCAAATCCCGCCAGATAACTTTCATGACAGGATCACGTGTTCTTTGATATTGTCTCCTACGGACATTTTTAAGACGGATCAAGAGCTGAAGATCGTCGTCTATTATAATTGAATCGAATTTAACCTCGCATTTTGGTACTGAGGCAGCTCTTGCTTCAACTATAGAAGTAGTCAGAGATTCAAGAGCATAATTAAT